CATGTGCTCACCAAAGAGAGAGAGAGAGAGAGAGAGAGATGGGCAGACTACCCAAAGGAGGACAGATCCTTTCCTCAGAGAATCCTGTGTAGTGACCGTCCCACTGCCTGTGCTGCCACCTGCTGGCTTCCCTGGGAACAGCGGGTTCTGGGTCCTTAGCAGCGGGAAGGGTCCTGGCATCTCATGCAGTGTCCAAGAGACCTCTGGAGGGGCTGCGGACACCAGGAAGCCCTGACCTCGGGCACAAGGTCAGAGCCGGGTTTCTCCACCCTTCAGTCTCCTTCCTCCACAGGACATCGGCCTTGCGTCCCTGGGGGCCTCGGACGAGGAAATTGAGAAGCTGTCCACGGTGGGTTTCCTTGCCCCACAGGGCCCCAGTTCAGGCCAGGTCTCTGCTTCAGTCCAGGGAGGGTAATGGCCACCCTGATGGGCCCTGCAGCCTGGCCAGGCCCTGCCAGTATGGGTGGCACTTCTGTCCCAGTCTGCACAGGCTGCGGCTGATGGCAGCTGTCTCTGGCTGACACGGCCGGCTGTCCCGACAGCTGTACTGGTTCACGGTGGAGTTCGGGCTGTGCAAGCAGAACGGGGAGGTGAAGGCCTACGGTGCAGGACTGCTGTCCTCCTATGGGGAGCTCCTGGTGAGACCCTCTCCCTGCAGCAGCCTGAACAGAGGGGCCCAGGGCTGGGGGGCCAGGGTGCTGGGGAGAGCCTGGGCCTCCTAGGTTTCGACCCTCTTGGGAGAAAGCTTGTCTCTGCCCAGTTCCTACCCTATGCTGTCCTCAGGGTGCGGGAGAACCTGCAGGGGGAGTTAAGGGTGGGTCCACAACCAGGGCCTATTGCGAGTTGGGCCACAGGACTCCAGTTCCCAGGGGCCCCCGAGGGGTCTGGTGACGCCTGTGGCCTCCCCAAGCACTCCCTGTCTGAGGAGCCAGAGATCAGAGCCTTCGACCCCGAGGCCGCGGCCGTGCAGCCCTACCAAGACCAGACCTACCAGCCAGTCTACTTCGTGTCTGAGAGTTTTAGTGATGCCAAAGACAAGCTCAGGTAGGCTGGGACCCGCCGTCCTCCAAATTGAGCAGACCAGGCCTTCTGCATGGCCTGTGAGCAGGGCCAGGCCTGTGAACCCACTTCACACATGATGAGACCCACTCTCAGTTCCAGTGTCCCCCTCACAGCAGGTATACCCCTCCTAAGAGGGACTCCAAAAAGCCTGGGGACTCCAAAAAGCCTGGTGACCTGTGGGACTGGGGGCCACTGCGTGGGCCAGCCAAGGCCAGCCTTCTGGGTTGGCAGAACCTGAGCGTTGCAGGAGGGATATGCGGATCCTTCCCAGCCTCCTGCACTTTGAGCAGCCAGGGGCCTTGGGATGGTGTTGGGGAGAGGTCAGAGGATGAAGGAAGAGGAACAGAAAGGGGCAGGGGGTGCTGAGGGTGGAGGTGAGGCACAGGGGGCACATGGCGGGCATGGAGAGGTCCCAGGGCCGGGGGCAGAGTCTGACAAGCTCACCTGGAAAAGGGTTTTACCATGATCTCTCCGGGCTCTTGTTAGACATGGAGAGAAACTGAGGCCAGAAGCTGGGTGCCAACACTGGGGGAGCAGGAGAGGGAAGGCTTCTTAGAGGGGAAGGCCCAGCTGAGGTACAGGGAGGGATGGGAGGGCCTCTGGCCTGTCTCCCCTACCATCTCTCCGCTGGCCCCAATCCTGGGATTCTCCTGTCAGAATCTGAGTGTTTGGACAGAACAGGCTCCTGGGGCCCAAGAAACTCAGACAAGATCTGGGAGCTGAGCTTGCCCCTGAGGCCCCTGTAGTCAGCAGCCCCTGCCCCAGGCCTGCCCTGCCTCCTCCATGCCCACACCAGGCAGCTGAGGGGCTCGCTGGGTCTTCTCCTCAGGGGCTACGCCTCGCGCATCCAGCGTCCCTTCTCCGTGAAGTTCGACCCGTACACGCTGGCCGTCGACGTGCTGGACAGTCCCCGCACCATCCGGCGCTCCCTAGAAGGTGTCCAGGACGAGCTGCACACCCTGGCCCACGCGCTGAGTGCCATTGGCTAGGCCTGCCCTGGGCCCTTCTGGTCCTTTCTCCAGCCCTCCTGTCTCCTGCCCCCTCCCAGAGCCCAGGCCCGTCTCCTCTGCACCCTCTGCCACCTGGGCTCCGCCGCCCCCTCACCCCGCTTCTCAGTGCCATCGGCTGTTGTGTGCACCTGGCCTGTGAGTCCTTGTCCTGCTGTGCTGCCTGCCTGGGCTCCTGGGGGTGTGGGCCGGGGAAGGGGGTGGTCAGGTAATACCTGTTCATCATCTCAATAAAAGGAGGAGTCCTGTCTGAGTACCCCCTGGCCTTGAGTGTGCATCTAAAAGACAAGCCTTCAGAGCGGGCCCCTCACACCCACCAGGACTTGCTGGGCTTCCCAACCTCCCCAGAGGGCCCAGGCCAGAGGCCCAGTTATCCTACTCACCCCAGAGGCTGTACCGGCTGAGCCCTCGATACCCCACAGGGCTCCAGGGGCCCTGGCCGAGTTGCCCTATCTCGTCTCACCTCGTAGGGCCCAGGGGAGAGAGGTAGGGAGCAGGGCCCCAGCTGTGCTGCAGGGGGACTTTCATCTGGGGGCTCGAGCCCTTGAGAGGCAGGCAGAGGGACAGGGGAGGGCCTGTATGACTGTCCTGACTCCACCCCAGAGCAGGACCCAGAAGCCGAGAGACCTCCATGTGCTCCCCAAAACATATACTATTAGGTTGTCAGGAAAATCGTGACTTTTTTTTAATGCAAAAACGCGTCATGACTTGCCCAGCAACACAATAATAGGTAGAATTTGGCAGAGCCGCTTCACGGGTGACTTCCCTGGAACCAGGTGGAGTACGGACTTCACAGGTGCCTTCAGGTCACCCGAGGGGCCTGGAGCTCTCTCCGGGCTTGGCTAGCGTGAGGGGTCCTGTGAGGTGCCTCCCCCTGTTCCTTGCTTTCTGCAGGTTGGGCTGAGACACTGGCCGATCTCAAGGCCCTGCCCACCTCCTCCAGGCTCCTGGCTCTAAGCTCAGGATGAGAGTCCTGCAAACTCCTCCTCCGTCAAGATCTTCCTGCGCAAAACTTCCTTCCCCACCCCTCCTTGGCAGTCTGTCCTTCCATCGGTAGCACCACACTCTTCCTGTCTGTGGCCAGCCCCCCACTGCCCTGTAGCCACATTCTTCCAGTCCATCGGGCCACACTGGGGCCATTCCTGAAGGCCTGGGAGCCCCACCAAGACCTACCTCATCTCCCTTGGGCCCTGCCAGTCCCTGGCTCTGTGCTCCCTTGCCCCTACGCCATCTGGCCTCCCTCTCTGCATGACCCTCCAGAGGATGCACCCACACATTTCCCTGCGGCAGAGGGGCCAGGAAGCACCATGGGCGGCCATTCCACGTACCATGGCACCCTGTCCCTGGGGACAATAGGGAAGGCCCACAGACTGCTGGAGCCCACCTGCTACAGATCCCTACCTAGGGTAGGAGGACCCTGAAGCTTACAGCCCAGAGGCGAGGTGGCTTCCAACTGGTCCCATGGCCCAAGCACCTGGTCAGATAGTCTCAACAGGTGGATTGGGGTGGTGGGCAGGAGGGGCAGTGACACAGGTCACCTCCAATCCCTCCGGCCCCCTCAGTCTCAGGCAAGGGCAGGATAGGGAGATAGAAGTGGCAGAAGTCCCTGGTGGGACTGGCCTGGCCCTCTTGGGGGCCGGGAGGGTGGAGGAGGTTGTACCACAAGGCCTCAACCCAGGGAGCACTGGAGGGGACAGTGGGACTGTGGGGCTTAACTCGAAGGTGGACGGTGGCTGGGGGTGCCCAGAAAGAGGGGGACCTGCGCGGGAGGCTGCTCTTACACTGAAAATGATAGATAGGGCCGGCCTTTTGGGGCCATAGCTTCTCCATCAGATTCTGCCTTCTTTCTGGCCCCAGGGTAGCTGGGGCTTCTGTCCTGGAATGGAGTGGGAAACAAGAAGAGGGGGAACACTTTCTCACTCTTCCCACCCCAAGACCCCGGGAGGCCTGTTGGGCAGACCAGGGATCCTGGGGGCAGGCTTGCTGGAGCGGAGTCCCCACCTCCCCGCCACAGCCCCCAGCTCTCCTGGACCGATGTGGGAAATGGCTTGGCAAGGCCCAGGTAAGGGTTTGCTGTCCTGGAGACATTTGCCCCCAGCTGCGAGCAGGACCGCTCTAGCCATCCAGTCGTTAAGACTAATGACCCCAGGGCCCAAGTGAGAGATGTTGACGACCAAGAAGATGTCCCCACAGGCCCCGCACCAGGGAAATGATCCAGAAATTGCAGCCTCAGCCCCTGGCCATCTGCCGACACCCCTACCACTGGAGGCCCTAATGGGCCAGGTGGCAGGGCTTGGGGGGCAGGGGAGATGGGCTTGGGTGCTATAAAGCCAGTGGGGACCCAGCCATCCTCAGGCCTGCGGGACCAGCTGCATTGTGAGGTCATCAGCAAGCAGGTCTGTACTGGGGGTCTCCACGCCAGTCTGCCTGGGGGCTCCAGGGCACTGGACTGCAGGCTTGAGCTCTGCAAAGAGGGACGACATGGCTTTTCTCTGGGAGTGTAAGGGGTGGTCACTGGGACCCAGGACAGGGCACTTGCCCCCTCACCTGGCCTCAAGGCCACCCTGCACACTCCTAGGTTATTGTCTCTCACCATGGCCCTGTGGACACGCTTCCTGCCCCTGCTGGCCCTGCTGGCCCTCTGGGGGCCTGAGCCAGCCCCGGCCTTCGTGAATCAGCACCTGTGTGGCTCCCACCTGGTGGAGGCGCTGTACCTGGTGTGTGGGGAGCGAGGCTTCTTCTATACACCTAAGACCCGCCGGGAGGTGGAGGATTCTCAGGGTGAGCACCCCCAGCCCTGCTACCCCCAGTAGCTCCACCCTGGCAGGAGTGGAGGCGGGCAGGATGCTGCCACCCGGTGGGAAGTCAGGTGGACTTCTATAAAAAAGGGTAATGGAGTTCCCTTGGCCCCCTCCTAAAAGTGACCAGCTCTCTGAGGCCGAGTCGGAGAGTCTGGGAATAAGGACTTCTCCCTCCTCGCCTCCCCTGGACCATTTCGCCACCTGCCTGTGGGGAAGGCAACTTCAGGAGAGGAAGTTTACTGAGTGAATCAACCCTTGGGCTTGGATGATCTCGGGGCAACTTGGGGGGGTCACGGGGTGCCCCATGCTGCCTGCATCCCTGTGGGCAAATGTCCTGGGGTGCTCTGAGGAGGACGGGTGGAGCACCTGACAGGGAGTTGGGAAACGGGTGCAGGCCCCGGGGATGGTACTGACAGGGCCCTGGCACTGCCCTTGGGCCAGAGGGTTTGTGGGCCCAGTCCAGTCAGCAACAAGGTGAAGGGGCTACCCTGGGGGGGCTACCCTGGGGCATGGGGCCACAGAAACTGTCTCCTTCTGACTGCACTGTCTCTCTCTGGGGTCCCCGGTAGTGGGGCAGGTGGAGCTGGGCGGGGGCCCTGGAGCAGGCAGCCTGCAGCCCTTGGCGCTGGAGGTGCCCCCGCAGAAGCGCGGCATCGTGGAGCAGTGCTGCACCAGCATCTGCTCCCTCTACCAGCTGGAGAACTACTGCAACTAGACCTGGGCCGCCCGTGCCACCGGGGCCGGAGTGCTGCTTCCTGCTTCCCGCCCACCAAGAGTTCAAATAAACCCCCAAATGAGCCCTACTGTGTCATCTGTTTGTCTTGGGGGCCGAGTGGAGAGTGTGTGCCATCCACCTGCCTGGAACATGCTGGCCTCGAGGGCCGTCTCCCTGGCTCTCCTCCTGCCGCCCCCTGCATGGACCTGCCCAGCGTTCTGCATACCTACAGGGTCTACAGGGGCCCAGGTCCAGGAGGCCCTCCCCAGGATGCCAATTCCCCTCTCAGCTGCCCACTGCCCCTACCTGGAGGCTCTGGGAAGACAGAGGAGGACTGTGGGGGTCTCCGGGGCTAGGGGTGACTTCCCCTTGCCTGATAGCCCTGGATTCGCAAGGTCCTCCGAGCACTTTTCCCAGAAAAGAGAATGAGAACATTCCAGTGACTTCTCCTCACCCAGCCCTCTCAGGCTCGATTGTTATAGCTATTTCTGATGGATCCCCATGTGGAAGGAAGAGGCTGGGCGAGGGGAGGGAGTCTGCCAGGGGAGGGAGAGAAAGAAAGGGACCAGAGTCTGCCCCTTTCAGTGCCTTGGGTGGGCAGGGGACAGCCCCAGCCCTCAGACCAGACCCAGCAAACAATCTGAGGGAACTGCTTGTGTCATGGACCCTCATGAGCTGGGGCAGACGGAAGGCCCAAGGCGGGCCCTGGGCAGGGTTTCTTGAGCCCCAGTTCTCAGAGGCCCTGAGAACTGCAGCCCACAAGGGCCAGAAGACCTTCCGGGCCACAAGACCACAGACCAGAGGCAAGGTCTCTCCAGTCCCTGGCCCTCTTGCTTCCTCCAAGCCGGGCCACTGGACCAGATTCCTCTAGTGACAGACCTGGCAGTTGTCCCCAGAAGTGCCCTTGGACCCTGACAAAGCCACACTGGGTCCAGGTCCAGCCCAGGTCACCTCCAGGCAGGTGACCCAAGCCACCACAAGGCCTGGCCAGCCTGCCTGCCACCCAGGCCAAACCAATCTGTGCCTTTCCTGAAAACTCCGCCCGGGCTGGGCTGGAGGGCTGGGCCTGGGTCTGGGCACCTGGTCCTGGTGGTTGCAGACCACACAGAGCCAGCCTGGGAGCCAGGTCAGACCCTTGGGCTAGGGGCCTGGCCATCTGGGCAGCCTCCTCCCTACTGCCCTGAGCGTCCCTGCTAGGTCACCCCTTCCTGTGACTGTATCAACACTCCCCCCACCCCAAGATGTCATGGGCTTCCAGTAAGCCCCGCCCCTGGAGCGGGGGCCCAGAGCTGGGCAGGCGGGTAGACAGTGGAACACTGGACCCGGAAGAGGAGGGGAGGAGGTGGCTGGGGTCAGCAGCAAGCTGTCCATGGGAACACCCAGCTGGCCCCATTCGCACGGGTAGAGGCAGGGGCGTCCTGCTGGACTTGAGGTATGTGAGCTCACTGAGTGCCTGGGTGAGACCCGCTGGGGTCAGGCTGCCCTCAAGGTGGCTATTGGCTGGGGCCATCAGCCTGGCCAGCCCTGAAGGCCCATGAGCCCTAGGGGGTGAGATGCAGGTGGCTCCTCTGAAGTGCCAACGCTCTGTGTCAGGGTGGAGTGGAGCAGGAGCCCTTTGGGGTCGAAAGGCTTGTGGGACTCAGTGCGGCTGGTTCTGGGTGCCACCGGGGGCTGAGGAGTGTCACTCAAGATGTGCAGTTTGCTGCCACTTCTCTCCTGGGGGATCTCTGGCCTGAAGACTCAGGGGAGGGAAAGGCTGTGCCACCGCG